AAACATATGTTTTTAAAACTTTAGGTTTCAAATTTTCTGTCTTCCTCCCTCCCCACCCACCCTCATTGAAAAGGCAAGCAACTCAATATAGGTTGTACATGTGCAGTTATGTAAAACACTTCCATAGTAGACATGTTGTGAAAAACTAACTCTATTTCCCTTATCCTGCCCTCCCATTTATTCTATTCTTTCTTTTGACCCTATCCTTCCTCAGAAGTATTTACTTCTGATTACCCTCTTTCCTAATCTGCCCTCCTCTCTATCATCCCCCTGATCTCTTGTCCCCTTCTCCCCCTATTTTCCGGGTAAGACAGATTTCCATACCCAATTGAATGTGTATGGTATTCCCTCCTTAAGCCAAATCCTATGAGAATAAGATTCACTCATTCCCTCTCACCTTCCCCTGTTCCCCTCCACTGTGAGAGACTTTTCTTTTCTGTTGTTTTTTTGGTGAGATAATTTACCCCATTCTACCTCTCCCTTTCTTCTTCTCTGAGTATCATCCTCTCTCATCCCTTAATTTTATTCTCCAGATATGACCCCTTAATCTTCAACTCACCCTGTGCCCTCTATCTATCTATCTATCTATCTATCTATCTATCTATCTATCTATCTATCTACTATCTATCTCTATCTATATATATATATATATAATTTTTTTCCTTCCAACTACCCTAATACTGACAAAGGTCTCATGAGTTATAAATATCATCTTTCCATGCAGGAATGTAAACAGTTCAATCTTAATAAGTCTCTTATGATTTCTCTTTCCTGTTTACCTCTTCATGTTCCACTTGAGTCCTGTATTTGAAAGTCAAATTTTCTATTCAGCTCTGGTCTTTTCATCAGGAATGCTTGAAAGTCCTCTATTTCACTGAATGACCATTTTTTCCCCTGAAGGATTATACTCAGTTTTGCTGGGTAGGTGATTCTTGGTTGTAATCCTATCTCCTTTGCCCTCTGGAATATTATATTCCATGCCCTGGTCCTTTAATGTAGAAGCTGCTAAATCTTGTGTTATCCTGATTGTGTTTCCACAGTACTTGAATTGTTTCCTTCTGGCAGCTTGTAATATTTTCTCCTTGACCTGGGAACTCTGGAATTTGGCTATATATTCCTAGGAGTTTTCCTTTGGGGATCTCTTTCAGGAGGAGATCTGGATTTTCAATTTCTATTTTGCCCTCTGGTTATAAATATCAGGGCAGTTTTCCTTGATAATTTCTTGAAAGATGATGTCTAGCTCTTTTTTGATCATGGCTTTCAGATAGTCCAATAATTTTAAATTCTCTCTCCTGGATCTATTTTCCAGTCAGTTGTTTTTCCAATGAGATATTTCACATTGTCTAATTTTTCATTCTTTTGTATTTGTTTTACAGTGTCTTGATTTCTCATAAACTCACTAGCTTCCAATTGCTCTATCCTAATTTTAAGGAAGTATTTTCTTGAGTAATCTTTTGGACTTCCTTTTCCATTTGGCCAATTTTTCTTTTTAGGGCATTCTTCTCCTCATGACTTTTTGGACCTCTTTTGCCATTTGGGTTAGGATTTTTAAGGTGTTATTTTCTTCAGTATTTTTTTGAGTCTCCTTTAGCAAGCTGTTGACTTGTTTTTCATGATTTTCTTGCATCACTCTCATTTCTCTTCCAATTTTTCCTCTACTTCCCTTACTTGCTTCTCAAAATCCATTTTGAACTCTTCCCAAGGCCTGGGACTGATTCGTATTTTTCTTGGAGGCTTTGGATGTAGTAGCTTTGACTTTGTTTTCTTGTGGTTGTATATTTTGATCTTCTTTTTTACCAAAGTAAGATAATATAGTCTGAGTCTTTTTGCATTGCTTGCTCATGATCCCAGCCAGTTACTTGAGTTTTAAACTCTTTGTTAAGGTAAGAGTCTACTTTCAATGTAGAGAGTGTACTGTCCCAAGCTTCAGGGGTTTGTATAGCTGTTTTCAGAGACACTTGTAGGGACCTGTAAATTTTCAGTTCTTCCAAGGCGGTATGATAAGGGGTTACCTGGCCTGTGACCATAAGTACTCCTTTCTGTCCTGTAACTGTGAGGAGGAGTTCCTCTTCACAGCCACTACAAGCTCCACCATGCCAGCCCTCCTCCTCACCCCAGCAGCGCTGACCAGAACTGTGACCCAGATCTAAACATGGGCAAAGCAAGAGATTCCTGCCTCAGCACTGGCAAAGAGATCCCTGCAATCCCTCTCTTATCAGCCACTGGATTCCCCCTCAGTCTGTGGGCCAGAAGCTCAGGAAGCAGCTGCCCCCCCCCACCCAGGGCCACACTCTTGGGGAATGGAGCTGAAACCCAGCCTTCCTCTCTCAGCACAGACAGAAACAGACTTTTCCCATTGACCTTCTAAGTTGTCTTTGGCATTCATGGATTGAGGAGTCTGGAAACCTCCACAGCTTCCTGAGATTCAGTCCTCTGACGCCTGCTCCAGGTTCGCTGCAGCCTGCCACCGCACTGCGCTGCGCTCCCAGGCCGGCACGATACACCTTTCTGATCAATCATCCAGGTTGTCTTGGGCTGGAAATTTGTTTCACTCTGTCTTTTTGTGGGTTCTGCTACTTCAGAATTTGTTTAAAGCCATTTTTTATGAATATTTGGAGGGGTTTGGTGGAGAGCTCAAGCAAGTCACTGCTTTCACTCTGCCATCTTGGCTCCGCCCCCCCCCAGCACTATTTTAAACAAAGTTCTAGAAACAATAACTGAAAGTTTCTGGGTTTTGTAGTACTGACACTCCTGAGCACTCATCCGTGCATTTTCTATTGACTATTAAACAATTGCCTCAATTTGTTCTTACCAAAGATATGTGTTAAGGTGACTTAATCAGTCAAAAATACTCGCCCCTTAATAAACAATCTTTAACCATGAATGACTAGGGAATTTATCTGAATTTATTTCCCATCTAGGTTAAAAATGGCTTTAAACTTAGAATACAGTTATAGAATCTAGTTAGATGTATGTGTAAAGAACATATGTGACCAAAATGTAAAGTAAAGTCATGATTATTAGAATTTCTTTTTTGGGTCCATACCTCCATTTTGGTTTTTGGTTCATAGGGTCATGTACATAACTGGAAGCTACTTTATCCATGTGATTGCTATCTTTATTCATATTTCTGTATCTGTCTTATTCATTGTTTGCCTTCTGTGTTTCTCTTTATCCTCCTGGTTTGACTCCTACTAGTCCAATGCCTCTGATGACATGGTCAGTTGGGGTGGTGGCAGAGTTTCATGCTACCCTGGGATCACTTTCCCCTTTAATTTTCTATCCCACACACTCTGTGCTAAAGGTTTAAGAACGATTCAAGACCCCATGAACCTGAAACCATAAGGAAACTTGACTGCTTTGAAGCTTGGCTGCACATTTCTTAAATGAATTATGATATTATACATAGGCCCAGGGGTTTATTTGATTCAGCCGATTATATTTCTATCATCTGACATTATTCAAGGTAAAATCGCTTCACTTCCAATTTAAAAACTTATTCATGCTTAGTTGCTACCTTTGATAGATTAATTAATTGAATAAAATCTGGGCCTTCTGTGTTTACATTAATTGTCATGAGTGTAGTAATCTCTACCATACACATGAATTGCCCCCCATCCCTATTCCATTAAGAATAATTTAGAAGAATTGAGATATATGAAAAGAGATTATGAATCTCAAATCAAATTATCTCAATTTAAAAAAAAAAAGAGAAGTAGATCATCTGATATGGGGACCAGGGAATAAAACTAGGGTGGAGATGAGGGCTTGAAAAGAGAGGAAGAAGTTTAAACCAACCATTGTGAAAAGTAGATAGCAAATTAGTCACTTTATACTTATTGTGAGTATTAAATGCAAGAAAAATAAATGTAAGAATTTCCTCCCCCCAAATGTGTAACACAGTCTAATCCCTGCTCATATAGAAAATTAGAAAATCTTTATTGTGGCATTAGGTACTAGCCAGAGCCAATATAGTCTTCCTGAGCTTCTATATTCACCTAACCCTAAGAAACAGTCTGGTACTTGGCCCTATGGTAGAGGAAAAAAAATTCTGTGCTGTAAATATATCATGGGCCAATCTGAGCTTAAGCCAGGTCTCCTTCGTTTATGATTCAGTGACTACAGACTGACTTTATTTAAGCCACAAATCCCAACCCACCCCTGCCCCACGCCATAACAAAAGTCTTGGTCCATGTAGAGAAAATTCAAGGGTTACTTGTTATATATCCAGATTTCAGGACTGATAAAGTTAAGGATTCTATCTGAAAGCAGTAATGACTGCTTAGAGCCCTAGATGACTCTTTTCTATCTCTATGTCTCTTTCAATAAAGCCTATGCTATCAAACCAACCACAAACATATTCTATGGTATAAGGTAGGATCCTGGGATCCCTTTAACACAGAACCAAGCCCATCTTTAAGTCATAATTATCTGGAGTTCAGAATCAGTAATAAGGATATGTTATGTCAGGATCTACATAAAGTAGCTTTTATTCCTCTTCATGCATGAAGGAGGTCACTGACCATGTGCTAGGTAATACAGTTTGAATATTCTCAGTCACTTACTAGCTGAGTGATTCTGGATAAGTCAGATAATTGTACCTATCTCACAAGGTTGCTGCAAGAATCCAAGGATATAATGTATGCAAACTTCTTTGCAACTCTTAAAGGACTATGTAAATGTTACTTGTTGTTGTTGTTGTGATTATTATTACATAAACCTAAGGAGGAGAAAACTTTTCTCTTTCTCCTCCCATCATAATCAATCAATTTGCAATTATTTCCTAATTCCTAATATGATGTTGAGTGCCATGGAACAACCAAAGAATTATAGACTAGAAAGCCTGCCCTCACAGAGTTACCAATTTCATTGGGTGAGATAAAGCTAAAACGTAAAAGATACTTAGTGAAAAATACAAAATAATATGTGGTCTTATTTTTTTAAATACATATTATTAGGTTATAAGACAGAGAAAGTGGAGGCCAAAATAGGATGTAGCAATCATAGAAGGTTTTATTTTTGGAGATGGGACTAGAATTAGTTCTAAAAGAATCAATATATTTTGAATGCGCATAAGGGAATGAGAGGGTTTTCCAGGTATGTATGTATGTGGGATAATTTTGGAGAAGGTTTAGAAAAGAATGGAATGATTAAGTGTATGATAAATAATAATAAAAAAGGCATCTTCTGAAGTTTGGGGACTCCATTAATATTAGAAATTTCTTTTTAAGAGAAATGTTATTTAATAATCTATGTACTCAGTTTTCTTCTAAGACACATTTTAGATATTCCCATTTCTTAAATGTAACGTTTAGAGAACCTAGAAAATTAAATAGTTCACTCTAAACAATTTAATACTCATTTAAAAAGGATTTAAAGTCAATGCTATGGGTGTCTACTCTTCCATTTTAATGTAAAGGGTATCATAAAATGTTTAATGGTTTTATAAAATAAACGATCCATTCTGAATACCATTTCAGTTCCTTGGCAACCTAAAGGAGGAGCTTGATATGCCAGGGCTCAGCCTGCCATATGGATGAATAGCAACTCTTGTTTCTAAGCTTTTTGGAGGTTTCCAAGCTGTCTTTTGGCATCTGTTCCATGCATGCTCCATTGGCAGTCATTTCTGCACTGCTGAAAAGAAAAGTGAGAGATTTTTTGAAGGTACTATTAACATTTTTCGTCAATTAGAAAATGCATGATCACCTAATTGCTTTAACATATTCAAGATGGCCCACCTAGGCGAGTTGGGAACCAAATGGAGACTTGTAGCTGAAAATGCCTTCACCTCTGTTTAAGTCATGGCATGGCATTAAAATTAAAATTAAAATTCAACCACTGACAAAAAATATCATTGTAATAGTTGGCCAGTTAAGAAATTTGCATATTTGAATAAATGATATGTTTCCTTAGAAAACTGAGAGCAATTTAGAGATGTTGAGAGATTCCCAACTTAATAACCTTGGGGAAGTCTGGGCCAAAGCCACATTGTGAAGAAGGAAACAGTTTATCTTCAATGGCCTTCTATCTCCCTTTCTGGGCTCTTGACCTTTATTTTGTTGCTCATGCCCTCTCCCCATCTTTTCATGTCTTCATTTGATCTCAGCCATTTAGAAGCTCTGCTAAATGATCCTCACCTTCCTTATCATCACCTCTTCTCCAGCCATAGGCAAGAACACAAGTGGGTATGGACATGTGAGTACATACACACACACATATGTACAAAGACCTAGGGCATTTAAGTGTAATAGAAAACAAACAAACAAACATTGCATCTAGAAATATAGATTATAATCCTGATTTAGTTTGATCAACACTTTCTTTGGAAGAAGATACCTTTTGGTAGAGACTATCACAGAACAATAACTACCCATAAGGCCTGATCCATTAACCTCCCCAAAACTTGTCCTCTACCTGAAAAAAAAATAATAACACAAAAAGGAGACAGTATTAAAATGTATGTAGTCCTCCCAACCTTTCCCTAAATCCCCTCTCAAAAAATGTAAAAGAAAAAACCCCAACTAATTATGCATGTATATACTGCTACTTGTTCTTAAGTTTTCCTTATCTCTAATTGTCTGATAAGCAGTTATATGGAAGCAAATAATTTACCTTTGGTTGTGGGCCTTTATATTGGCTATTGGCAAAGGATTTTAGGTAGGGCTTTCTCTATACAGTGGTAGATAACTGTGTTAGTACTTGTAACATGATTCACAACAACATAAATGTTACAAAGCAAAGCAAAATTGTGCAAAAGAGCACTGGACTTGGAGACAGACAGAAGACTTGGGACTGATTCTTGGCTATCACACAATAACTAGTTCTATCTTTCCCCTTTACTTGCATCCCCAGTGAAGCATTAGCTCCTAGATGTCAGGGACCATTTTATTTTTGTCTTTGACAATAATGTTAATGATGAGTGATGATGATGATAAAAGTTAGCATTCATAATACAGCGCTTTAGGTTTGCAAAGCATTTTATATTATCTCAGTTTATCCTCACAACAACCTTGTGAAATAGGTAATATTATTATCCCCACTTTACAGAGGAGGAAACTGAGTCAAGCAGTAATTAAATTACTTGCTCAAGCTCACACACTGAATAAACGTCTGAGGCTGGATTTGATTTCAGGTATTCCTGACCTCCAGTGCTCTATATACTCAGTTTAGCACAGTACTATGCACGTACGAGGTCCTTAATAAAGAGTATATTCTATCACATATTTATGTCATGTAACTTTTCTAGCTCTCAGTTTTTTCAGCTATAACACAGATATAATAATGCATGTCATACTTCCCTCCTAGGAAAGTTTGTGTGAAAGTTTCATAATTGCTAAATGGTATACCTATCCATAATGTTATTACTAATCATAACCAATATAACCCTTTGATTCCAATTAACTGAATAGTAGGAAAATAAGATTGTCTATATGCATACACATACATGGAAATTGATTTAGATTTGGACAGAACCTTAGAGCTCATCTAGTGTACAAATGTCATTTCAAAATGGGAAAACAGGTCCAGAAATGTAAAGGAACTTGCCCAAGGTGATAGATGAAGTAAGTGGTAGATGCAGTATTCAAACAAAGGTCCTGTGATGAAGCCAAATCTATGTATTTTTCCATCCCTTTCCTCCTCACTCATTGATTTTCTCTCTCCCTCATTTTTTCCCACTCTATTCCCCTCTCTCCCATGCACTAATACTGAGAAAAAGCAAGTTTCCCCAAGAGATCCAAAAGTAATGAAGTCAATGAAATACAAATATTAGTCTCCTAATAGAAATCATACTTTCTCCTTAGTGTGCCAATAAGTGGGCAGGGTATTTGTAAGACTGGCTCTGTACATGGAATAACTGTCTCTTCTAGTCAATCCTGATGAAGCACACATGTTTAAGATACAGGAGATGCTCTCTGCAAACTTTTTTCCACATATGTTGTCATAACTATTCTTCCAAAAAGGGCACCTGGTATCCTTATTTTTCTACTGAATTGAATGGCTAGACAGGTGGGCCTCCATCTAAGGACATGTTCCTTACTCCCCCCCCACACCTTCATGGGATGTTTTGATGAATGTCAATTTGATTTTTAAATATCTGGAAGATATCCTAAGAAAAGTGACACATTAGTGGAAATGACATTCTTGTTATCCAAATGAGTTTAACAGAAATAATAATAGCTCACATATATAGCATTTTAAAGTTTGCTAAGTTTTACCTGTATTATCTCATTTAATTCTTAAAGATATGTGTTTTATTATCCCTATTTTATAGATGAGAAAATTGAGTTGCAAATGAATTAGCATGACTTGATTGAATTTTCTAGGTCATTTTGAGGTCTAGATATGTTCTATGAGGATTTATATCTGTCAGTCCATAAGAGTTAATGAGTTTCTAACCTATAATTCTTGTTACAAGGTCTATTACATCTTTGGTTGATGCTACATTTCACAAAACCTCATTGATATGTTGCAAAATTTCTACCTTTTCCTTACATAATATGCATTGATCATTAAGAGAGTTTCCTTAGTATATACATATATTTGTTTTTGCTGATAATGGTATCCTGGTCCTGAATTACCATTCTAAGCCATTTATATGCCACTTTATTGTTAACATGTTGACAGAATTCATGCATAGGCAATCCATAGTGGCACTTTTGATTCTATTCTTTAGTTTTTCAGACTGTGTGTGGAAATAAAACACTCTCAGTTATATTTAATAATTATAATGGATGTCCTTATTGTCGACTTTCATCATTACTCTGGGAAGTGATGTCTGCTTCTTCCAAAAAACATTTCTGTACCTATTATTATGTGCTTGGAAAATGTTTGTTATTCCTCTTTCTGCTTATTGGCAAGGGAGTGCAAATCTTTCTAGACCCTGTATGCATTATAATGGGTTCTGTGTTTTATTAATATGGCACTTTTTAAAGGATACTTTCCATATCTGTTTTTGTTTGTTTTGTAATTCTGAAGGTGTACATCAATATTCACAATGCATAGGTGTTAAATGTCTTGAAAATATTATTCCTATAAAACTTTGATTTCAGGATGCCAGTAAGATGCTTAACATATTCAGCCACAGCTTTCTTATTGATAGCTTTATGCTCAGTCTGTAATTCTAGTAGGATTCCAATGTATTTTTAAGTTTTGCTTTCAACCATTGATTCAATTTCAACTTTGGCAGAACTAGCAATGCAAATACATTCCAAAAGAAAGACAATCCCTGTTCTCAAGGAGCTTACATTTAAACACAACAAGTAAAAGAAAGCTGAAAAGAAAAGGGATGATGTCATAGAGGCAAGGGTTTGAAGTCTAAAGGAAATTTGAGGTCCAGGAAGAGAATGAAAACAATAGCCTTGGCCCCTGCACAAAATAGAGGCTAAAGTAGGCACTCACCAAGGGAGTTCAGAAGGCCTTGTCAGAGAATATTCCATAATGAGTGGATTGTAGGGATGTAGACTATAGTAAAGTGAGGAGGCAGAAGACATTGAGTGAATTTACAGGATGAGGCTGCAGTAGAGGGGGCAATTTTTCAAGTCCAGAGGAAGTCAGGAATAGGTATGAGAGGAGAATTTTACATTTATGGAAACCAAATATCAATTTAAAATATTATAGAAAGTTTTCATGAGATAAAGAAGCCGTTTCATGTGTTTTTCAGCAATGCCACACAGATTTAAGTCATCCATCTATGTGAAATAATTTATAGGATATTTTGATACAATTTTTCTTTCTAATTGGAAATTTATCCTTAGTTTTACTTCTAGACAGATGGTAATGAATTTAAAGCTAGGCACAATAATAGTGGGCTTAAACTGTCTCCCTGATAAATACCATTTTCGATAGCAACTTTTCTCAACATCATTGTTTTGGCGGCATGTTTTAAAAAGAGAAAAAAAATCCATATGGGAGTCAAGTATTCTCTCATTTTCACTATATGTGGGTGTATTTTTTATTATAGAGTTTAATATTCTTATTTGGATGGTTGTTTTTATTAGTTATGCAATGATCAGCAACCTTAGATGAGGAATGGAAAAACTCTTAAGTTTTTAGTGTTTGGAAATAACTGGGTGGAAGAAACAGCATGGCTATGTGATACATTAGTTTGTTTATCTTCTCCCCTCAACTACCAACCACTTTTCTCTCTAAAACTATAGGATCTCATGAAAAAGGATACTTAAAACATAACTCACAAAGGAAGTAATACAAGCAGATGGGAATTATTTAGGTAGGATAAGGAACATATATTTTCCTTCCCAAGTTATACTGTTATAAATTTTCACCCCCTAGCTCCTCAGTGGTTCCCTATTTTACCACTTCCATTCCTTAATCTCACTTCCTCCACTACTAATTAGCTGGCTATAAGTGGCTTTCAGTATGAAATATTCCATATTAACAACTCAGCATCAGATGAAAATGGGAAGTCAAAGGGCTGGAATTTACTACCAGGTGTTCTGCAAAGAATATAGAGGGTTTTATAGGAAACCCACAAAATTCCTCAATGCCTTGCAAAATCCACAACCCACCATATCAGAATGTAATGGATTTAAGCTGAGAATCCTATAAATACCACACTATAAGGGGCTTACTCTGATAAAGCATATTAGGGGCATATTCATGCCACAGGATGTTGA